TCCTGGAGAGCAGACCTCCTCTCAGCAGAGCTAGGACAGCAGTTTTCACCTCTGCGTTCCTCAGGCTATAGATGATGGGGTTCAGTGAGAGCATCACAACCCCATAGAACAATGTGACAATCTTATCCATGTTGGGGTCCTTGGCCTTGGGTTTGAAGTACATGAAGGAGATTGTCCCATAAAAAACCACCACCATTGTGAGGTGGGCTGAGCAGGTGGAGAAGGCTTTGTGCCGGCCTGCAGCAGAGGGTACCCTAAGGATGGCGACCAGGATGAAAAGGTAAGACAGGCAGATGAGCAAGAGGGGGGCCAGTGTGTGGCCACCATTAATGCCAGCGCATTGAGGGAGATGTCCCCACAGGCCAGTTTTAGCACTGCCAAGATCTCACAGAAGAAGTAGTTGATGACGTTGTGGCCACAGAAGGGGAGGCGCCAGACAAGGATGGACTGTAGCAGTGAGTTGGCAAAGCCTGTCCCCCAGCTCAGCACTGCCATCCGCATGCAGGTCTGCCCACTCATGAGCTCTGGGTACCTAAGCGGCTGGCAGATAGCCACATAATGGTCATATGCCATCACAGCCAGCAGCAGGCACTCTGTTGATCCCAGCGCCAGGGTCAGGTACATCTGCAGGGCACAGCCAGGAAAGGAAGTTGACTAGCATGAGAGGCACAAAGGAGGAGGTGCCGCAGATGTCCATGAGGGAGAGGTTGCTGAGAAAGAAGTACATGGGGTTGTGCAGGTGAGGGTGCAGCACATTCAGCCCTATGAGGAGGGCATTCCCCAGCACATTCATGGAGTCGATGCCCAGGCAGAACACAGACAGGAGCACCTCCAGGTTACAGTGCTTGTGTGGCCCCAGCAGGACGTATTCTGTCACAGCTGTCTGGTTTGCCCCCTTCATCTCATTCTCTGTCCTTTTCCATCTGGACCACCCAGCTTTTTGGAAAAAGCTGCAAGTGGCCTGGGAGCCCAGTGACCTGATGTCTGAGCTGCAGCAGGTCAGCCTCCCTCTCCGTAATTTAGTTTCACCATCTGTATAATGAGGGAGTTGGACTTCAGATCTGCATGCTGGCCTTCTCAGTGCTGCGGTTCTGCGGACATCACTGAGGGGAGGATGGGGCACATTCTAGTTCCCTAGGTTCCTCTCGCTCTCCCCAGGATGGGGTCAGAGGAGACAACAGAGAAGGATTCATGTTTAAAATGATCCTTTGGAATCCAAAGTGTTTTTGGCCATTAACGGGAAGCAACTTTTCTACATTACGGCTTCATATGACCAAGTTATGGCCATAGAATTTCAGATTTATCCATCCACTAAATATTAAGTACCTATTCTATGCTAGGTATCAGGTGCTGGGGCTATAGCAGTAAGGAAAATAAGTGGACAAAAGGATTCCACACCTGTCACAGGCGCTGCCCCACTCCCTGAGTCAAGTGAGATGAGCTCCGGAAGGCAGGTGGGTAATGGATGACGCTCACCTAGTGTTCCTTTGGGCCATGAAGATCAAATATTTCAGCCCCACAGGATGTGTAAGCTTGATTTCTGGTCATCTCTCCTTAAGGAATCATGGACTATTCATTAATTTTTTTTAAAAGGACACATAAGAACATACATGTCTCAATAGAGTTACTGGTCACAGGATTGAACTCTGGTCATGAAAGCCAGGTGACTTACTTTCTGGCTTCCATATTGCTTTGTAGGAGAAATGATACAATGATGTCACACGAGGAGGGAAGCCAGACACGAATCTGGTGGAGGTGCGGTCAGTCGTGACCAGCTCTGCAAAGGGAGCAGTGGGCGAGGCTGTGGTCTCTCCCAGGTGACCTCCATCGCCATGCAGAGCTGCTCTCACTTCTCGGGAAAGGCCAGCGTCAGGTGTTCATAGGAGGAAGCCCAGGTGTCCCCAGAGAACAGTAGTCTTGTTAGGACTGGAAAACCGTCTTATGGCCAGGTGGTCCCTGGTCTGAAGGAAAAATAGGAGCTGAGTGTGAACTTCTATCACTCAGAAGATATAATTCACCTCTCCCCTCCCGCTCCTGGATTGGTTGTGAGGACAGTGCTTTGCGACAGCGATGGAGCCTTGTCTGTCCTTCCGGGCTAGATTTCTTTTTTCTCTTATTCCTCCTGTTTCGTTTTATCCACCATTTTTCGAGTTGCAGGGCTCACCCTTTCCTGAAGAAATCATCTCTTTTCCCAGCTCCGCACCTTTGTCCTAGATGGAGGCATGTCTTTCCTCCCATCCCCAGTGGGGAGTGTTCCGCCCATTCTCCAGAGCCCAGTGCTGCACCGTCTCTTTTCCTCCCCCTCCTTCCCCTTGCTGTTACCTGCTCCCATCTTGTGCTCCCACCGCCCTTGGCCATCCCTCCGTGTCATTGTGTGCTGTGTGGTGCACCTGTCTTCCCTACTACACCTTAAAGTCAGGAGTCTGCCTCCTTCCTACCAGCACCTCACGCAGCAAGTGCTGCGAACTGCAGGCACCTGACAGATAGTGAATGCATGACTCCAAAACCCAGCTTTGCCTCCTGGCTGTAGCTCAGACCAGCTGTGTGATACTGACCAAGACACTTGACCTCTCTGAGACTCAGCTTCCTCCTTGAAGACTGGGATGCTGTGTAGCTCAGAGGAAACATACACCTGAAGGTGCTGCCCCGGGGGTGCAATGACCTGTCACTGAGGCTGGATGGAGGACGGCATCCATCGTCAGCTACAGGTGCCTGCTCCATCTGTACTAGCCACCTCCTGGACAAAGGCTCCAGTGTCCTCCATGACACCAGCTTTCTCCAGGGCCTGTGCAGGTTTCCTTCCTCTACCCTGAATCAGGGTGATTCTTTTTTTGTTTTGTTTTGTTTTTTGAGACAAAGTCTGGCTGTGTCGCCCAGGCTGGAGTACAGTGGCGTGGTCTCGGCTCACTGCAAGCTCCACCTCCTGGGTTCACACCATTCTCCTGCCTCAGCCTCTCGAGTAGCTGGGACTACAGGCGCCCGCCACCACGCCCGGCTAATTTTTTGTATTTTTAGTAGAAATGGAGTTTCACTGTGTTCGCCAGGATGGCCTAGATCTCCTGACCTTGTGATCCACCCGCCTTGGCCTCCCAAAGTGCTGGAATTACAGGCGTGAGCCACTGCACCCGGTCAATCAGGGTGATTCTTAAAGGACAGTTTCAGCAACATACAGGGGGCACTTGGGTAATCTTGGTCAGTAACTGACCTTTAACTATGATCCACGTGAACATCTATAGTTAGGGTTTTTCTTGGCGAGGCTTGGCAAAAAGTAAAGAATTCCCCAAGTGTGAAGCCTCATTCATTCACTCATTCAACAAATAGTTATTGAGCACCTACTATGTGTTAGGCCCTGGGCTACGTACTGGGAATACAGCAGAGGCAGACCTGGCTCCTGCCCTCGTGGAATTTGTAGTCATTCATTTACTCACTCGGTGACTTTGGACACCTCCCCTCCTCTCTCCGGGCTTTAGATCTCTGAGATTCTCTCTGCGTCTGGGATGTAAAGACAAAGTAAAGCCTGAAATCTGGAAAGCAGAACTGTAAGATCTTTGTTTTTGATGGGTGTGTTGTTACAGAAAGAACTATGTTCATCTCAAATTCTGACAATGGACACAGATGTGGGGGTTTCCAGCAGGTGAAGGGTGGGAAACCACCTGACTGCATTTTTCTTCATCACTCACACCTCTAACAGTAAGACCAAGTGGGCATGGCGGAGGCATTTGAGGGCTTTTCTGTGTAGGCTGTGGCCCATCCTCCTGCCTTGCCTCCACTGCATCCCTCACGCACAACTGCTGCAGCCTCACCAGGCCACTCCCCGTCTTTTGGACAAAGCCTGCGTGTTCCAGTCCCGTCCTTCTTCTTGGGCAGTTTCTTCAGGCTGGAGTGCCTTTTTTTTCTACTCATCCTTCAAGGCTCAGTTCACACACCACTGTCTCACGCAGCCTTCTCTCAGATGGCTTCATACAAACTGACTACCCGGACAACAGGATGGTCACATAGCTTTTAGCAGAGTTTACATTCATTTTGCCTTCATTATAGTTCCTTTTTCTTGTATATCTCTCTCTGACTAGACTATGAGCTATTGCAGTGAAAGGGCTGTGTCCTTCATCACTGTCACCCTCCAGTGACCTGCAGCCAGGAGGTGTCAGTGATTGCCATTTGAGTTGAACTGTTTATTGACATCCCGCGTTGTCCTGCCAAAAATCCCAATCCTAGAAATGGTGGTTTGCACCTGTGCACCCAGCTACTCAGAAGGTTGAGGTGGGAGGAGGATTGAGCCCAGGAATTCGAGGTTACAGTGAACTATGATAATGCCACTGCTCTCCAGCCTGGGCAACAGAGTGAGTCCTTTTCTCTAAAAAAGCAAACAAAGAATGCTGAACCCAAGGTCTTGCCTCAAAATCCATTCCCCCTTCCGCCTCCAACACATATACCACAACAGAATGATGCAGCTATTGTGATTGCTAGGAGAAGGGCTTTGGGGGGTGCCAGTCGCCTATTTGCAGAAACACCCGCTCTTTCTGAAGAGCTACGTCAGTAACATGGTGGATTTTCCTCAACTTAAGAGTCTGATCGTAACACATTCATGGAAACTAGAACCAGCACACGAAACCATTGGCTTATGGCCCTAAGGAAATAACTCTATGTCCAGAAAATGCCATTTTACCACGTTGCCAACAGCTTTGCCTGTAACATGGGCACAGGCTGGGACATCAGAGAGGAGCTGGTTCCCTTGGTGGGTGGGTTGGGATGGGCTAAATTATGTCACAGTAACGTACAACCTCGTCATTTTAGTGGCTAGCATGACAAAGTTTTATTTCTCATGCTACATGTCTACTGTGGCTTTCCAGGTGGCTCAGAGTTCTCAGAGCCGCTGGCAGATGGAGGCTCCACCCTGTGGGATGTCACCAGTGGTTATGGCTGGGGAAGGACACACTGGAGCCTCTCATACCAGTTCACTGCTCTGAGCCACAAGAGACATTTGTCATATCTGCCCACAGCCCACTGGCCCTGTGACATCCTACCACCTGCCCAGAAGGAAGAGAACCAGAATTACTGCTGAGCAGCCCCTCTGCGTGTGGGTGCAACGGCGTCTTACGACTCTCAGAAAGCTACTCTAGCGGCCATCTACCATTGTCACGCAGTGTCATGCTCGGTCATGGCCTGGAAGATCAGAGTCGCAGAGGGATAGGACCTGGGGTGTCTCTGAAAATAACTGCCTGGTTTCACTCCCCAGTTTTATGTCTCTTAAGAGGCAGAGTGATGCCTAGAATGAGCCCTGGACTGGGAGGGCGGGTCCCAGGTTTGAATCGGGGCCTTTGTTCCTCCTCTGCTGTATGACTTTGGTCAGATTTCTCTTCTGAGAAGTGGAGCCAATTAGGTGATCTCTGGTACGCTGTAATCTCTGAAACATTTCCTCATATGTTTCCAGCAACTTCCAACCTAAGGTCTGATAGACCCAGGGTTACTCTGCAAGCTAACTGTCATATCAGTCTCATTGTCTGGTAAATCTAATTTTAACCACTTAATACTTATTTTAGGCTTCACAAATTATTTTAAAAGAAAAGAAAGGGGCATAATAAGAAGGCGGCTTCAGTTACAATTTCCCCGAAGAGCCTGGATCCGGGATTCCTGCTTCACTGCTTTCTGGCTGTGTGGCAGAGAAGATGAGGATGGCCCTGGAGTCAGACAGGACCAGGGTCCAAGCCCCAGGTCTTCCAGTTGTTAACAATGTTCTCAGCCTCAGCTTCCTTACCTGTACCACGGAGATGGCAGCATCTCCTTGTGGGCTTGTTTTAAGGATCCAGTGAGAGGAAGCATGCAAAGCTCTTAGAACAGAGCCTGGCACTGGTGAATAGTCAGTGAGCGGTAGATGGTATTATTACCATCCTGTCCCTGTCCCCCAGCAAATATTTTGGCTTTTAAATGTTTTAAATGATTTCATGAGAATAAGAAATGGGTCAGATGAATTCTCCTTACCTCCCACCTACTGGCCATGGCCTAAATGTCTGTAGGGAGCTGGAGCCAGGTGAGGCGAGCTGAGGTTTGGGAAGTGCCGAGTTCATTACCAGCAAGTGCACGGTGCTGGGATGGGCTAGGTTCCCCCTCCCTCACCCTGCCACTGCCTCCCAAGACCTGCCCCTTGTTCCCCTGCCACGTAGACAGTCTGCTTGCTCCCTGCTCTCAGGGAACTCACGGTCCCTGTCCAATTTAAAGTTCAAACTCTGCAACTACACAAAGGTGCAGGCTTGGCAGCTGTGGGACCTGGGCTTCAGAGACTCCAGGTTCCTCGGCCTGCCCCAGGAGGGCCCTGCTGAGGTAAAGTGGGCAGAGGAGAGAGAGTGAACAGAGAATCTGAAGACTGGGTCACATTGCAGTTCTGCCCCTTGGATGCCATAGGCTCCAGGCCCATGAGCCCGGCTTCACTAGGCCTGGGTGTCTGGGTTGTAGAATGGGGTGTCTCCTTCCAGGATTGCCGTACGGACCTGGATTCATCGAAGCTTAAAGTAAATTGCTTTGTAAGGTAGGAGACACCAAGTACAGGCGAGGGACTTTGTTAGGTCAGGGAAGTTTTTACAGATTTCTTTATTCCTGTTCCCTTCCCTCCCCTTCCTGTCCTTTCACAATAAAGAATAACAACTTGACACAGCTTAGAGACTAAAAGTCATCCTTCAATAAGAAGTTGCAAAGTTTCCTATGATGCTATGATTTGTCTTCTGGATTTTTTATCAAGAACATAGGTCGAAGTAAAAAATGGAAAGGTTGTTACTGTTTATTTTCTATATGCTCATAGTATATTGTCCTCTTGCTGCCCCCATGGATACCCTGAACTCAGCAGGTCAAAGACAAACTCACCATCTCCCCACTTCCACCATCTACTGTGCTCATCCTCCCCACTCAGTGTCTTAGTCCACCCCAAATAAATCAGAAACCCGGGACCAACCTACGGTCCTCACTCTTCCTCCTCCACCTCTATAATCCCAAATATCTCTCCCAAATAGTATTTTACACATATATACAGTTGACCCTTGAATAACATTGATTTGAACAACATGAACTCACTTATACTTGTATTTTTCAAATAATATATTGGGAATTTTTTTGAGATTTGCTACAGTTTGAAAAAACTTTCGGATGAACCGCCACCCCTGAGACAGCAAGACTAGCCCCTCCTCTTCCTCCTCCTCCTCCACCTACTCAACGTGATGTTGACAATGATGAAGACTTCTATGATGATCCACTTTCGTTTAATAGATAGGAAATCTATTCCTCTTCCTTATGATTTTCTTAATAACATTCTCTTTTCTCTAGCTGTATTGTAAGAATGCAGCACATAAAACACATAACATACAAATTATGTGTTAATCGACTTTTTATATTATTGATAAGGCTTCCAGTCAACGGTAAGCTATTAGTAGTTAAGATTTGGGGGAGTCAAAAGTTATACATGGATTTTTTTTACTATGAGGAGAGTTGGCTCCCCTCACTCCCGTGTTGTTCAGGGGTTAACTGTAATCCCAAAAATTGTATCTCTAGCTCCCAAATGCTATTTTGCATCTATATCTATCTCCCCAATATTTCTTGGGGCCACCCTCTCCTTTACTGACCAGCTGGCTCAGGCCTCACTGAGGGACTGGGTGACTGCAGCAGCTTCCTGCAGCAGCTTCCTCCCATCCCTGCCCTCAGGAGGAAGCCTTTCTCATCTGTCCTGTAGTATGGGCAAGGTGGTCTTCCATATACCATTATTTTTTAAGTTCAAAGTCATGGTCATCATAGAAATATTGGACAATATTACAAATAATAATTTAAAAACCAGTATTTATCTGTAACCCTGTCACCCAAAGGAAACAACTGTTAGTTAATATTTGGTCATCATTTTCCAGTATTTCCTGGATACCCACTTATTCAGAGATCTGTAAGAAAAATATTTAAAAAGTTAAAATTGAGATCATACTAAAATACAGTGTTATGTGTTCTGTTTTTTTTTTTTCTATTAGTTACATTATGAGCATTGCCCATTATCATATACCCTTCAAAAAATAAGATTCCTGGCCAGGCATGGTGGTTCAAGCCTGTAATCCCAGCACTTTGGGAGACTGAACTGGGAGGATCAGTTGAGCCTAGGAGTTCAAGACCAGCCTGGGCAACATAGTGAGACCTTGTCTCTATTAAAAATAAATTAGCTGGGCGTGGTGGTGCATGCATGTAGTTCCAGCTCCTCAGATGGCTGAGGTGGGAGAATTGCTTGGGCCCAGGTAGTTGAGGCTGCAGTGAGCCAAGATTGTACCACTGCATTCCAGCCTGGATAACAAGTGAGACCCTGTCTTGAAAAAAAAAAAAAAAAAAAAAAAGATTCTTAATGGCTGCATCACATACTACCACTGGACTCCACCAGGATTTGTTTAAATATTCTTCTATGGTTGAACATTAAGATTATTACAGTTTTTTTTTGTTACTACAAATAATGCTGTTATTAATATCCTTATGTCCAAATCTTTGTGCCCTTTATTATTTACTTAGACTAGATTCCTAGAAGTAGAGGTGTGGGGTCAAGGGGTCTGGAAGTTTTAAAGGCCCTTGATTCATATTTCCAACTTACTTTCTAGGAAGTTCATATTAAATTATCCCCATTTCCACCAGCAGTGTATGACACTGCCTACCTCACTACACAGTACCTAACAGTGGACATTGTGTTACACAAGAGAGGGAATGGTATCTAATTAGTGACCTTGCTAAAAATCAATCTGATTGTAAACCCCCAGAGCCCACAGAATAAAACCCAAACTCCTGTCATGTATGCAAGGCCCAGCAGAATGGCATGGCCACTGGCATGGCTGCTGACAACCTTCTCTCATGCGTGGTCAGACAGGCTTGGGTGTCTCTCACTCCTCCAGCTGTGCTTCTCTGTGCCTCTGTTCTGGCCAGCAGAGGAAGCAGGGAGAAAGCCCTGGGAGGGGAATCATGCAGGAGCTGTGCTTACCTATAGCCGGGGGCAGGAAAGGTACTGCTGCTCACAGGCCAACCCCACTGCTCCTGTTGTACAGATGGTACCATAGAGGCGAGGGCAGGGCAGGGAATGGAAATACTCTGTGAATCTGGGTCAATGTCCACTGCCTGTCCACTGAGTCATCAGAAAGGAAAGCTGGAAGAGGCTGAGCACCAGGCAGGGACAGCTATGGCAGGGTCCCAGGGCATGAGGTGAGGATGGGTAGAACAAGCCCCCTCAAGTCAGGTGAGGCCTGGATCCCAGGAAAGGGGGCACTGGAAGCTGCTGCTGCTGGGCGGGGTGAGGTGTGAGGAATGGTGAGGCTCCAGGCTCTGGCTGGATGATTGGTGTCCCAGGGCCTGACAGGTCTGGGAATCTTGGACTTTGGGCCTTGTTTTGGTTAATACTGAGTGTCAACTTGATTGGATTGTGGGATACAAAGTATGAATCCTGGGTGTGTTCTGTGTGGGTGTTGCCAAAAGAGATTCACATGTGAGTCAATGGGCTGGGGAAGGCAGATCCACCCTAATCTGGTGGGCACTATCTAATCAGTTTCCAGTGAATAGAAAGCAGGCAGCAAACTGTAAAAAGGAGAGACAGGCCTAGCCTCCCAGCCTACATCTTTCTCCTGTGCTGGATGTTTCCTTCCCTTGAATATTGGACTCCAAGTTCTTCAGTTTGGGGACTTGGACTGGCTTTCCTTGCTCCTCAGCTTACAGACAGCCTATTGTGGAACCTTGTGATCATGTAAGTTAATACTTAATAAACTCCTCTTTATATATATATCAATATATATCTATATCTATATATCTTCTATTAGTTCTGTCCCTCTAAGAGAACCCTGACTAATACAGGCCTCATCGCTGCCTCTACTTTCACCTGCCAGGGAGGCTAGGCCATTCCCGTCATCTGTGGACTCCGTCTCAGCTCTGCTCAGATTTGGGAAGAACTCCAGGCTCTGCCATTGTCACCCCTACACTGACATGTTTATATCTCTAAGACACTTGTGCAGGGCCTAGGGTTGGGCAAGGCTGGGCCTTGGGAGAGGGAAGAATCTGACACTCCCTGCTCTTGGAGTAATGCTGAAAACACAGAGGCACAGCAAGAGGAGCAAGGCAGGGTGGCTTCCTGGTGGAGGTGGTGTTTGAGCTGGGCCTGAAGGGTCGGGCAGTCAGTCCTTTTACATATGGAGTAGTGTGCTGGGGATGGGGGAGGGGGTGCTGCTTCGTGGGGAGGACCCAAGGAGAGCACAGAGCTGGGCGGTGCAGGGCATGTGGGGGTCACATCTGGCTGGTGTGTGAGGCTGTGAGGAGGGAGATAGGGTGGGAGGGGAGGAAGGCTGGGGAGTCAGTCAGGCAGGACCAGCTTGTGAGGGCCTCAAATGCCCCACTGAAGAGCTTCCACTTTGTCCTGAGAACAGTGGGGAGCCACCTAAGGATTTCAGTGAGAAGAGTGATACAATCACATGTGCATTTCAAAAAGATGCCCCATGAAGGAAAGATTGTAGGGAGGAACAGGACTGAAGTCTTGGGACCAGCCAGGAGGTGGGTGTGAAGGCCAGGGTGATGCTGAGAGCTGACCTATGGCAGTGGCAGGGGCAGGAGCAGAGGGTGATTTGAGGGTTGTGGCAGGATCGGCGGGACTTGGTGCTGCCTTGCTGGGATGAAGATACCAGACCGGTAGCCCTAGCCCTGCCACGTCCTCACTGGCATTGGCATATGCTGGCCTCAGCCACTAACCTGAAACCTGCATCTGTACAGAGCCCCACCCTCCCTCACCTGGAGGTCCAGCTCCTGCCCCACGCCTTCTTGGTGGCCTCCTTCACCTCCTTGTTCCTCAGGCTGTAGATGATGGGGTTCAACATGGGTGTGACCATGGCGTAGAGGACTGTGAAGACCTCATCAGAGATGTGGGCTTCCTTGCTCTTGGGCTTCATGTACGTGAAGATGATGGTGCTGTAGAAAAGCAGCACCACAGCCAGGTGTGCTGAGCAGGTGGAGAAGGCTTTGCGGCGCCCAGGAGCCGAGGGCACCCTCAGGATGGTGGCCAGGATGAGCAAGTAGGACAGGCAAATGAATGCCAGGGGCACAGGCAGCAGCAGGATGGAGCCCACCAGCAGGAAGACTTCGCTGACCGATGTGTTACCGCACGTCAGCTTCAGCACCGCCAGGATCTCGCAGGTGAAGTGACTGACCACGTGGTGGCCACAGAAGGGCAGCCTCATGGCAATGACTGTCTCAGTCACCGACTTGAGGAGGCAGAGGACCCAGGCAGCTCCCACCAGCAGCACACAGAGCCGGTGGTTCATGAGCACGCGGTACCTGAGTGGCTGGCAGATGGCCAGGTAGCGGTCGTAGGCCATGATAGCCAGCAGCAGGCACTCCGTGGAACCCGTAGACAGGCTCAGAGACATCTGGATGGCGCAGCCAGTAAAGGAGATGGTCTTCCGGGATGACAGGAGGTGGACCAGCATCAGGGGCACAAAGGTGGACGTGTAGCAGATGTACAGGGTGGATAGGTTGCCCAGGAAGAAGTACATGGGCGTGTGCAGGTGGACATCTAGCACGCTCACTGCCACAATGGCTGTGTTCCCCAGCAGGGTCACCAGGTACATGACGGAGCACAGAGGGAAGAGCAGGTGCTCTAGGGCTGGGTAGCCAGAAAATCCTTTCAGAAAGAATGCGGACACCCCTGTTCCACTGAGCGGCTGCATGCTGCAGAGTTCTGAAGGGATGATCCACAGTTGGGATGAAAGGAGAGAGGGTACGGGGTGCGGGGAAGCTCACAGAGCCCCTTCTGGGACGAGATGGACTGTCAGGATCTTTTCCAGCACTACCACACTTGCTCTCTGTGACGTCGGGCAATCCCTTTACCCTCTCTAGGCCTCAGTTTCTCCATGTGAAAAGTGAGGATTGATTTAGATCAGCATTCCCTGAATGTTAATCAGAATATTAGTAAGCAATCTGAAAAACCAATTTGAGACAACATTTGATTAATAAAAAATAAAGCTCTTTACTGCAGGACTTCTCAGAGCCTTTAAATGCTAATGTGATCTATGACTCCCACAAAGCAATGTAGAACATGTGTACCCCAGACTTATTTGATCATGGATCCCCTTTTACAGAACACCCGTTAACCTACTGCAGATAAGTGTTCTGTGAACATAGTCTGGGAAACAGTGGGCTAGATCAACAGTTCTCAAACTTTAACATGCACCAGAATCACCTGGAAAATTTCTTAAAACAGATTGTTGGGCCCCAAACCCAGTTTCTGACTCAGTGGGTCTGGGTGATGCTTCTGCTGCTGGTGCAGGTACCACACTTTGAGGAACTATTGGGCTAGATGGTCTCTGAGCAGGTGGAGATTCTCCTGGCTTTAAGGAAGCCTCTGAGCCATCGCATTTGCTATTCCCACTGTCTGGAATGTCCTCGGCCTGCAGTGGTCTGACCTGTCTCTTCAGGCCTACTGTAGTGTCCATGAACAAAGCATACACCGTGCTGTGTGTCAGAGGGGCTGCTGACCTTGAAGGCTGTTGGTGGGCATGTTCCCCTGCCCCCTGCCCAGGGCCTGTTTCATTAGCTACCCTCTGTGGATTGGACCTTCATAATCTGCCTTCCTGTGGGTATCCCAGCTAAAGTCTGATGGAGCTCTTAGCTCAGCTCCAAACCCCTCTGTTCTGTGGGCCAGAGCCAGGGTTGCTTTGACTTCATGAACTCCTAGGGTATTAGCATGGAACATGCCCAGAGGCCAACTTGTTGGATCTCCCATTGTATAGATGGGGATGCTGAGGTCACACAACAGGTCTCTGGTGAGGTGAAGCTAGAATCCAGCCCTCCTAACATACACCATGCTCAGAGTGGGTGTATGCTTCTATTAGGTTTCAAACAATGCTTGTTCTTTTACCATTCTAGATGGATATCTGTGCCCCACATGCTGCCACTATCCTCTCACCAGCAAAAGAGCATGAGTCACCTCTCTTTAGTGTTCCAGGGTATCTGGCACGATGTCATAGTTCCCATGGGACATGATGCCAAAGCCTGGGCCGAGCACAGTTCCTCTCAGTGCCTCCCTTAGAGGAGACCACTTCTATCTTTTATTCCTCCCTCACTTACTCACCCCAGAACCCGGAAGTGACTGAGGACCTACTACATGCCAGGTGGTGCCAGATGTGAGGGACCACCGAGGACAGGTGTGTTCCCAGGCTGCTGAGTGCAAACCCTCTCCCCACTCTCCATAGCCAGCCTATCCCCAACCCAGCCTACCTCCCCACCTCCATACCCACTAATCCCCAAGCCACCCCACTCTCCCATACCCAGCCTCACCTCCCACCAGCTACCTCCAAACCCAGCCTCACTCTCCCCCCACCCTCCCATACCCAGCCTCACCCTTCCCCCACCTCCCATACCCAGCCTCACCCTCCCCCCACCTCCCATACCCAGCCTCATCCTGCTTCTGTTTGCTTCCCTCTAGTGACAGGAAGCTCATTACTCCTGTACATATTTTTCTTCCTTTCTTTCTGCTGTCAGGCTACTTGAAGGGTCACAAGTGGAGTCTCTCTAGGTCTCACTGGGCCTTCACCACTCATGAGGTTTCCAGGTGGGTGGCCCCTATGGCTACTCGTTCTTCTCCCAGAGTGTAAGTGTAGGGTTCAGAGCTTAACCCCACACATGGAGGCCCTCCCTCAGGGAGTTTGGGGGTGCCTTGCAGCAAGATCTCTGATCCAGTCCTAGGGCCTGAGAGAAAAAGTCTTGTCTCACATGACTGTGTCCAGACTCACCATGGGCCCAGGTATATGTGAGCCACAAGTTTCCTTCAAGACTTTGGAGTCTCCAGCAGGGAAACTCTGAGGCTGGGTTCCTGGAGAGGGACCCCCATTTAACAGGGCACAAACAGAAACAAGCACTGTGCCAGGGCTGGGGTGCGACACAGAGATGGCATCATGAGGTCCCAGTGGCTGGCTCAGGCACCACTTCCTCTTTGCGTGGTTCCAGGTACTACAGTTTATTCCCAAAAGTCACAAGGAAGCATCTGCAGTGTTGGCTACCTATTGGAATATACATACAGGCCACCACATGTGCACTCACCTACAGGAGAATGCACAAATACCTGTGTGACATACAGGTGCACAAATGTGTGCCTGTGAGTATAAGCCACACATAGGCTCATGTGTGTACCTGTGTTGTCATTCATATGAGCGTACACACATTAGGTACCGCTCACTGTCTCTTACACATATGTGTGCACACACATATCCAGCTCCAGTAGTGCATCCCCTTGAACCCGGGGCCAGGGTGCTTCAGAGGGCTGGGCAGATGCCTTTGTCCCTGGGAGGAGGCGTGTGGAAACCACGGCCAGGAGGGGCAGCAGGGGCATCTCTAGGAAGGGGCAGCTCTGAGGGAAGGGAGCAAACCCTGCCTACAACAACCCAGAAGGACACGGCAGCCCAGGAGCAGGGGCAAGCCCCAAAAGACTTGGGGCCCCCCTGCTCTTCCTTCTGCCCTCAGCCTGGGGGGTGGGGCCTGCGGGAGGAGGAGGAACGTGACCGATGCTGTGGACTCTGGTTCCCAAAGCAGGGCCAGAAAGCTTTGTCTGCAGAGCCCATGATGTTCTTTCTGCCCCCACCTCCCTCCTGGCAGAATGCTACGGAAAAACCAGTTCAAATGGCACCTCCACAGGGAGCCTTCCTGTGTCCTCCCTAAGGCTGCGCCGAGCCTTCTCTCCTTTTCACTCTGTGGCCCTATGTTTGGACCTCTTGGATAATGCCCACCTTTCTCTCTCACTTCTTATCTGCTTCCTATCCCAGCCAGCCTGCAGGGATGTCACCCTTCCTCTCCTCTCCCAGGTTCTGAAGGCCAAGCTGAGACTGCCAGCCTGGCCACGGCTGACTTCCTGTCTTGCTGTGATGTTCTGTGGCTAAGGCAAACTGGGAGTGAGCCGCTGGATGCCAAACACGGGCTGGTCCCTGCCTAGGTGACACCTTGGCAGAGCTGGGAAGGGTCTCACAGATCAACTGGACTGCCCCCCTGTTATACATGGAGAAACCGAGGCCCAGCGAGGCGAAGAAGCTTGCCCAGTGTTGCACAGTCGAGCAGAGGGAGAAGCCAAGGCCCCTGTTCTTCTCAGGCTCTTGACTCCCTCCTCTGCCTTCACATCCCCATTTCTCACTCACCTTCAGGCTCTCTGGATCCATTTCCTTGGCTCACTGGAGGATGTTTCAGAGGGTTTGAGACCAGGGACCTTTTCTCTCTGGAGCCAGGGGGACACAGTTCAAAGAAGGAAGCCCAAGCCTCCTAAACATAGAGAATTCTGGTGGACGGGACATGGAGTTTCACACCAGCCCAGCTTTCCAAACTCTGAAAACATGCCTGAACTTTCATAGAATTCAGCAAAGCGTTTGCAACTCGATAGAATTAAACGGAACTTTTGGAATTTGGCAGAATTACACAAACTGCTTAGAATTCAGTGGGTTTCTTGGCAATGTGTCAGGTTTGGTAAAATTAGGAAACGGAGAGGCCAGTAGGTTACTGTGGACAGCCAGGGACCCCCTGACCTGGTAGCGCCCAGCTCCATCTCAGCCGACAGCTTCCAGGGAGCAGGCAGGCCATATGGAGGTGGCACCTTTCAAAGCACTCTGTGCACCAAGGGACTGTGCGATCCCTGAGGAAATTTAGAGGGAAGAGAGGAAATGTGCCCAGCTTAGAAACTTTGGGGTGCCTCAGGGATAATGTCCCAAAGACCCAATTACAAAGAATCTATTTAGAAATCTTAATTGGTGTGGAAAAGTCGGAGAAAGTGGCTAAGGGACAGGAACCATCCTCTTAGGCCAGGCCCCAGCCAGTGCTGACCCAGGAATGTTTACAGAATGAATATGTGAATGGATGATGAGCAATTAAATGAACACATAAGCAATTCTCAATGAATAAATAAATGTAAAAATAAATGAATGAGTAAGTGAACAAATGATAGGCAGACTTGCTTTCCAGGTGAGGAGCTAGAGGTCTTGGCTCAACTCTCACAGGGATCTTACAAAAGTGCAAAATCTAGGAAAGTGAATAGGGGAGTGAACTGAACTGGATGAAGAAGCACAGCAGAATTACAGACTATCAGAGCAGGAAAGTGCTTAAAGGCCATCATAACCCATGCTCACTGTCCAGGGGGAGAACTGCCCTAGAGGGGTGAAGGGGTTAGCTCAGCACCACCTAGTGAGGCAGGAGCATGGCCCTGGGTTAACTCTGACACTGACTTGTCCACCCTTGAATCCTATCTCCCTCAGTCAATGCAAAGCCTGTCTGCCCAGGCAGCCAGTGACTGGGTTCCTCCAGTTGGTCCCTCTTCCCTGTGCTCAGAGCATCCATCTTGATGGTTCCTCCATGAGGTTCTCGACAGTTTTCAGAGTCCATGTCTCTGCAGGTTTAACGGTCTCTTTATTTACTTATTTATTTATATTTATTATTATTATTATGTTTGAGACAGAGTCTCCCTCTGTTGCCCAGGCATATTCTTAGCTCACTACAACGTCCGCCTCCTGGGTTCAAGCGATTCTCCTGCCTCAGCCTCCCAAGTAGCTAGGACCACAGGCATGCGGGCATGTGCCACCACACCTGGCTAACTTTTGTATTTTTAGTGGAGACACAGTTTCACCTGTTGGCCAGGCTGGTCTGGAACTCCTGACCTCAAGTTATCTTCCCGCCTTGGCCTCCCAAAGTGCTGGGATTACAGGTGTCAGCCACTGCGCCCAGTCAAGGGGCTCTTTAAAAATTAGGGTCATTTTATTTTGGAACTAGGTATTGTTGTTAGATTTTTATTTCACTATTTTAAAAGTAAAAGGAAGTTTATTAGAATTTTATTTATTTACACAAAATAAATTTACACTTTTACTTTTCCAAAAGTAACTATTGTTATTAGTTTTGTGTGTATCTATCCAGATACTTTTCTGATCATTTGCGTATGTATATCTATACATAG